CGTCTCTCTCTCTCTCTCTCTCTCTCTCTCTCTCTCTCTCTCTCTCTCTCTCTCTCTCGATCCCCTCGGTTTCGAAAATTCTCGTTTACATAATTAGCTCAGCGGCGGAATGCCCATGGAGGATTCGCGTGCGTATGTCTTTATACACGATCGTTAAACTTTTTCGACGTTAGCGCTAGCGATCGTTAAGCCGAGCGCTTAGCGTCGCCGCGAAATTGCGTCCCGTCGGCGTCAGCGCTCGCGGCGGCTTCCAACGAGTCACAAAGCCGCCACATGCCGCGCAAACCCGTCGTCGTCGTGAATTAAGATTCAGGACTAGATCGGCTGGATTAAAACATGTCGCTTCACCTGTGTTAACCTGATAGCGATATCGTCATCGACGATCGGGCCGGTGTCAGTGGCATGCGAAGTGGAATGTGATGCCGTCCTCCGTTATCGTTTTGCCAGTTTCTGCGTGATGTTTCACATCGGACAATTTTGATTTTCTTTTCCCCGCATTCTTCGGCAAATTGACTTTTCCTTTACAAAAAGTTTTGAAGCGCGAGTTCCTCTCTCATGCGGATTGAAAATGAAGGAATGATCCAAGAATGACGTGCCGGAGGGGGAAACGAGTGAGAACGGAGAACAGGTATACCGAACATTAATCTCAATTAATCATTCGACGCAATTCAGGATTAAAATCTATCCTGCAAATTGTGCGAATTGTGTTTAGATTATTTCTTTATTTTCTGTCTCTTATTTTATTTCTCATTTCTTTTTTTCTTTAATTTAGGCTAATCAACTATTTTATATAATTATCTGATGAAACTTATCATGTTTCTCTGTCAACAAATCATGTTCGGTTTGTTCGCACATTCACGGATTTATAAATTACAAATTCATCAGTCTAAGATCTGAGTTCATGCTTGTTTGCTCTTATTTGTATTGCATACGAAACTATTCAAAAGCAAAGTTACGCCATTCAAATCAGCGAGAGATAGAGAACGCGAGTGCGCGAGCATTGAACCTTGTTTCAAACCTGCCTAATGACCTTTCAGGCAGAAAGCCTGATTTGCGCCGAGAACAATAACTTTCGTATTATTTCTTGATATTTAAGAGATATGAATTTACAGCGATGTTTTTGTTATATCCTACTTTCGTTATCAGATTATACATCGCATCTAACGATCGTAGATCATATTGTATAAAACGCAGTTAAAATAGACGTATCTCACGTTGGGCCAAAGTAAAAAAGGAGTTATGCATAAATATATAAATTATATTGGTAGTTCCTTATGATCTCTCGAAGTGTGAAGTATTTATGAATCATAACTTATTACAATACGGTGATATTAGTTCTAGAATGATTGGATTTTAATCGCCGCTTCAAGTGTCGTACGCCGTGCACATTGGTACGTCGTAACAGGTGTTTAAATTGTGTTTTTTGTTTGCAAAATGGTGCTTTTTTTTAAACATAGCTCTTTACACGTCGATGGGTCTCTTAGAGAAAGGATTAGATTAAATGTTCTATGGACTAAAACGTAATTGGTGTAATATTTTCAAATTAATAGTTTTCATTCAATAATGCGTGTTTATCTGACTATCGGCGTGTATCATGTGTTTAACGATATCATTAGGGTAGTTTTAATCTTTTAAATTGATCGATTAAACTGATTCTTTCCGAAACTGTTCCGTTTAAAGAAAAATTGTTTAAAGATAGTGAACACCCTCTTTGAAGAATCGTAAACTATCCCGTTGATTATAGCGAACAAAATAATAGTGTCCATCACCAAAAGAAACGCAGTACATTTGGGGGGAGGGGAGGATTAGCGCAACGGAGGGATGCAGGTGAGACTAAACGAGCTGGGCTTCTTTTATAAGTAGTCGCGTTGTCGTAGCATCCTGTCATTATTTTACGATTAGACCAAAGGAGGAGGCATTAAGGCAATTGACAAAAAAGGCCGACCGGTTTCCACAAGGAAAGAGAAAGAAAAAGAAAGGGCGGGGAGAAGGAGCGAAAAGAAAAGAAGGAAAAGATATAAAGAGGAGAAAGTTCACCAGATTAGAAAAAAATAATTCGCATTAAAGAATCAAAATACCGGAAATCGAAGGATTGATTCAAACCATGGCGCAGGACGTCAGAGACTGCATCCGCCATTCTGAACATGTGTTGCAAGCGAGAGTACGTGTCATTCTTTACAAATGGAAGTTCTCGTAATTAGACATTGGTGCGTTCAATTGGACATTTTACAATAGATTGAAAACTGACTGAAGACATAAAGTCAAAGCGTCCTAGTAATTCGTCTTATGGATCTGGTATACAATTTCCGTTTCAACATCCTGCGCTATGCAGAGAAAGTTTAATTGGCCGAGAGACGGGGAAGTTTAAAGGCACTTTAACGCACAAAACCACTTGGATGTACTGCGGTTTCTCGCGGATATCGCTCTCCCCCCTCCCCTCCCGCCCCG